TAGCACACTCACAGATACTTGACAACATCAATATATTATATTATTATCCAAAAGTCCAGTAGCAGCTACAGCTACAAAAACACTGAGGGAAAATAAATCCATCTGTTCCTTTATCCTCAGGTCGTTATGGTCATTCTTCATGCTGTGGTGGATGGGAAGTTCTTATCCAGGCATCCCGAGGAACTGTTTGCCTGTGCTGATTTTTGATCTGTCCCTAGAATCATTGGTGCCACCAATTATGTGCATAGCTGGAATATCCCAATGATGAATCCTAGATGCAACCCCCTTATTACCTGAGGGACACATCGTGTGGAGAGAGTGCTCGGAGCTCCACAGCCTCAATTTATCCTATTTACAACTTGAATCTTTCCATCCATCTCTTAGGTTATGAGCAACATTGATAATGGGGAAAATGGGAAGGGACCATTCAGGTTGTTCTACAGAGCACACCAACACAAATGGTGAGATTTTAAGGTTTTGAGCCATTAATTATAGAGCTTCTATTATCTGCCATTGCTAAGAGACACTTGAGAAAAAACTAGGGTATGCTTGTGTTTAGAGATGGGGCTACCCTCAAGCTTGTCCTTTGCCCTTTAACTTCTCCCATTTCAGACCCCTCTCTTTTAACTTGAGGATACTGTCCTGGTGCTGAAGTCTTACTAACACATCTTTTCTGGATCCACATGTTGCCTCCTGGTTTTGCTGGCTTACTGGTAGAGTAGTATTTGGGAGACACAGAAGACTCTTGAAACTCTCCAAGTACAGCTCCAAGAGATGATGGAGAACTTCATGTTTGTGATCCCTGCCTGCAAGTAGCATGTCCTCAACGTGATCATGTCTATAATGGATTGGAACTCTGGCCAGTTGGCACAACACTTGCTTCATATGCATGGGGCCATGTGTTTGATCTCTAGTGCTGACAAAATAATCTTATTCCAAGGAGATGTCTCAGAGCTGCAGGTTCAGGGATAGTCCTGGAGTTGAGGTCCCCATCTATGTCTCCATTTCTCCTCTGGTCCTAGTATTCTAAGGGCTTTTACTTTAGTAAATCCTTAAGTCTGGTGTAAGAGCATGACACAAATGAAGAAAGAGAGGAAATTTTGCTCTAGGTATTACCCAAACTACTCAGGTAGGTGGGGAGACCAGGGTCATGGTTTAACCAAGGCCCTTTCCAAGGCTCATGCCTCAGTCTTAGAGTACACACACACAGAAAGACACAGAGACACAGAGACACAGACACAGACACAGACACACACACACACACACACACACACACACACACACACACACACACCCCTAGCAATGTTATTCCAGACAATCTTAGGCTAAGATATCTTACACAAAAGATGAGGTGGGATGGGTCCAGATAAGGACCTATATTTCCACACCCCGAGGCTCCTCCCTGTTTACTTCTATGAGATCCAGCATGCACCTAACCTCTTCAGAGATGTCAGGCTACCATACCACATGGAGGCAGACCCTGGCAAGGATATTTTCTTTGTCTTTGGATCCTCCTTTTGTGGCAGCAAATATAAGTCTTCCTTTATTTTCCTCTCTCCATGAGTAGCATGGGGACCCAGATGAACACTTGAGGATTGCCTGAGCACACTTTCCAACTAAGGAAACAGAGGCTTTGATAGCACAAAATGCTGTGCTAGGATTAGATCTGAGCCCTTCCCAGTGCATGCTGGGCTTTCTGTCCCTGTCTCCACCCTGATGATGAAGTTAACCACCCCCACCCCCAATTCGGCTGCCACTTGCACAATCCCAGCTGTAACCTAAATGCAGCACACAGGTTCCCCACCTGTCAAGATCCACTGTCCTCCATCCCCCATCCACCCCTTACTTGCCCCCAGCAATGCTCACAATATTTTCATCAAGTATGGCCTGGGAAGATCGCTCAGAGGGTAAGGACTGCCAACTCTGACAAACAACCTGAGTTTAATCTCCAGGACCCACATGTTAAAAGGAGACAACTGACTCCTTTGAGTGTCCCTTTACTTCTACACATGTGCCATGACACATGAATGCCTGTACGTGCATGTGCATGTGCACACACATACACACATACACATAATGATAAGTGAATACGAATCATTAAACAATATTTGCAAAGTAGACAGATGACTGTTGTTTTCTTATAAGAATTAGGCCATTAGAGAAGCCATGGTATAGAAGTAGATAGAATGGATAGAATAGGAAATGAGGACTTTCATGCAGAATTGCAGTGTTTCAGTGAAGCTACCATGACCTAACAGGGAGGGTATGTATAGATCCTAAGATCACTCTAAGGGGCAAGGGCCTCTGAGTCTTGACACTGCACGGTAGCCTTGAGGGTGGATGTCATACTCAGAGCTCCTGCTCTTGCACATCTCTCTGTCTGTGGCATCTTGATTATGTACCTACTCACAGGAGCCCTGTGGCTTCTCCTGTTACAGCTTTCTGCTCCCTGATCATCATTCCAGTATCTGCAATGGGTTGATAAATAGGACAGGAATCATGACGACTTCAGATTTGAGGACAGGGCTCCTGGTATCCCAGAGGGGCTTCAGAAGCCACTTTATGAGTCTTTGTTAGGATCGCTGTTGCCATGATGAGACACCATGACCAAAAGCAGCTTGGGGAGGAAAGGGTTTATTATGCTCACAATTCCATATGACAGGTCATCAGGAAAAGCAGTTAGAGCATGCAGGAACCCAGAGACAGGGAGTGATGCAGTGTTGCTCACTGGCTTACTCCTCATGGCTTGCTCAGCCTGTTTTCTTATAGAATGTAGGTCCTTCAGCCTGGGTGATATCATCCACAATGGGCTACTCCCTCCTCCATAAATCACTAACTAAGAAAATGCTTTATAGGCTTGCCTAGAGCCAAATCTTGCCTATTTTCTGAGACATTTTCTCAGTTGAGGCTCCCTCCTCTCTGATGATTCTAGCTTGTGTCAAGTTGACAAAAAAGTTTGTCAATGTACTATACCTTGCTAGTGGGCCAAGGAAAGAAACTTCAGAAGTGGCTTTGCTCTGCCTTCTGGCCATTTGCTTCTGTCATTTAGGACTAGTCAGTGACACTCCCTTGCAATAAGAACTTTGTTCCGCCCAATGAAACTTCAGTCTTTGTAACACTAGGTCAAATTCTTGCCTGAACAACGGCCACATATTCTGTTTCCTGTTGGTGAAAACCTGTCACTGGTATCAGCACAGAATCAGGCCTAGAAGTCCATCATGCTACCGGATAGACTTCCCTACTGGCTGAATGCTGTGGCCTGTGGACTTCTCCTGCTTCTCCTCTGCCACGTGCAGGGTAAGGTTCCCTAAGTGGGAAATAGGGACCAGCATCAGAGCTGCCCAATTCTGCTGAGTCAGAGGCTGAACTTGTGAAAAGGAAGATACCAGGTAGGGAGGGGATGACAGGGTGGAGATGAAATAGTAAAGTTTGTAAAGTACATGCCTCTCAATGCCTTATAAAATAAGATCTGAAGAGTCCTGCCTGGGATGCAGGTGAGGAGGAAGAGGGTTGGAGGGATGGTTCCCTCCTGTTCCCTCCTGTGTGCTCCCATAGCTGTGGCTGGCTTTATCACTGACCTTGGATGATAATGACAATGGTGATATGTTTGTGCTGCTGTGCTCTCACTGTTACCTCTTTGGTGAACACTCTGAGAAGTGTCCTGGTACTCTTCAAATTGACCCTGGGAGTGATCCCCAGCTGTGGAAGTTAGAGAAAACCCCACCCCTACATCCCACATAGGAACTGAGAGGCCTTAAGAGCTCTTCCACACCTACCCGGGTAACAGTGTAGTAGCAGCTGCCTGAACAGAACTAATCTTCAGGGCATCTCTCCACCCACAGGCCAGGACTCAGCCAGCCCCATCAGAAACACACACACAGGCCAGGTGAGAGGCAGCCTTGTCCATGTGAAAGATATAGATGCTGGTGCCTACACCTTCCTGGGAATTCCTTTTGCCAATCCTCCTGTAGGGCCACAGCACTTTGTACCTCCTGAGGCCCCTGAACCATGGAGTGGTGTGAGAGATGGGACATCCCACCCTGCCATGTAAGTTCTGTGGTCCAAAGGACTTTAGGCCTGAACTCTGTACCATACTATAGTGTTCCCTCTATCTCAGCTCCATAGCAATCTGCTCTGTGTGTTAAGAAGTCTTTAATGAATTTGTGCTAAGGTTTAGAGTAGAGCCATTTTGCCAGGTCCTGGTCAGTCTGTCACCCACAGGCAGTTAGCTCCAGTAGTGCATAGCAAAGCAAAGGCAAGACCTCTCAGGAGCCAACTTTTCACTGCCAAGGTTGTGTGTTTCTACTAGGAGTTTTTGTGTTCAGTAGAATACACTTTAAGTCCCCAAGGAGAGCAGAGGTAATGGGTGTTTGCCAACACAAAACGTGAAGGGAGCTGGTCCTTTCACCATCTTTGTAATCAGAATAGAGTGAGGAATGCACACATTTCTGCTCCCCATCAGCTCCTCTTCATCTTCAGCTCACTCTCTATGCCCTTAGTGCGGAAGCTTATTCTCTGTGGAATGGTCCCTCCCATAATGAGCATGTCTTCCCATCTCCATTAAAATAATCAAGAAAACCCATGAGAGTCAAGGTCAACCTGATCTAGGCAAGCCCTCACAGAGACTTTTCCCCCAGGTGTCAAGTCAATGAACAAAACCAACCATCATACTAGGCCTTAAAGAGCACAGAGGAAGTGGTGAATGTCAACACAGGCAGTCCATTATTTTCATAGAGACCCCTGGAAGTCTTTCAACTCCTGACTCAGAAAGAAGAGCATCGGGGCCCCCACCCAACTGGAAGCCAGGCTCTATCCCATTTTCCATGAACCCCATTGCCTTTACCTTGGTAGAAAGGGACTTTGGAGGAGATCCCAACTTAGCCTCATGAGGAGCAACAACAGAAGTGGTTATGAACAAATCTAGATTAAGAGTGTGGTTTTTCACACAGTGCATATCTCTTAGAATAAATGTCTGTCATTGCTACCAGGTGTGTACAGGATATTGATGGAGTGAATTCAGAAAATCTGAAGATTAAGATGAAAAGGTCTCCTGTCTCTATGTCTGAAGACTGCCTATACCTCAGCATCTATACACCAGCCCATGCCCATGAGGGCTCTAACCTGCCTGTGAGTTCAAGCCACGTTCAACTGGGTGGAAGGGAGAGGATTTCTTTCTCAGGCAGATTGGAAAGGAAAAAAATAAACTGAGCCTCATCAATGTGGGCTCAGATGAGAGAGTTTCCCTGTAGGTTCAAGAAGAGCTTTTCAAACATAGTGGGCAGCTGAATCCTGGGTGTGGGGCACAGAGAATTTGAGTTCTCAGATGTCAGAGGCTTGGCTCTTTGATCTACTAGGGACTCAGTCTACCAACTTGAGCCCACAGATCCGGAACACCAGGGGTACTCAAATTTCTAGCTTTGGAATATTTGTTGCACCAATGAGATTTGATGATCCTTTTGTTTAATAGCTGGGAAGTGACATTCATGAAGACACCTCATTATTAAGATAGATTTATTTATTTATTTATTTATTTATTTATTTATTTATTTAATGTATATGAGTACACTGTCACTGTCTTCAGATACACCAGAAGAGGGCATTGGATGCCATGTGGTTGCTGGGAATTGAACTCAGGACCTCTGGAAGAGCAGTCAGTGCTCTTAACCACTGAGCCATCTCTCCAGCCCATGACACCTCTTTTTGTTCCACTTTTGAAGGCTCTGAGAATAACAGTGGCATTGCTTTGTATCTTGAGGTATAAATTTCTAATAAGATTCCCCAGTGAGGAGAGAAGGGCTGGAAAATTTCTGATCGGACTAGAGTCGTCCATCTGTGGCCTAATGCTTAGACATTTTAATATTGTTCCACATATTTTATTGACCCTCAACCACAAAATTATTTTTGTTACTACTTCATAACTATAATTTTGCTATTGTTATGAATCATAATGTAAATATCTGATATGCAGATGGTCTTAGGCAACACCCATGAAAAGGGGTCCTCCCTCAATGAAGTCATGACCCACTGGTTGAAAACCATTGCTCTAGATAAATGTACAAACAATGGCACTCTGTATCTTCTAAGAGTCTTAACTCTAAATACCATCACATTAGGGAGTAGGTTTCAGAAAATTAATTTGAGCTGCATAGGCTTTTAGACAATAGCTATCAGAGTTCTCTGGCACCAACAACTGAGGATATCAACTAGCCAGGAATATTTGTATATGTTGTCCTTGAATATGAAATCTTACCTATTTCTTTTCAAAACAGTGATCGGTTCATTTCCATGCGAAGCTGGACTGGACCTGTTCCTAGGCTAATCAAGCTGAGCTGGTGGTTAGGTCGGTCTCACAGGTCTCAGTGGGTTTCTCAGTTGTCCACTTTCTGAAGCTTGTTCTTGTTCCTAGGGTTTCTGAAGCCTCTGAAGTCCACACTTGCATGAATATATCACATCTATTGGATGACCCTGCAATTAAGGTTGCAGTCCCTATGTCTAGATAAGCTCTCTGAGCCTGCTGCTAAATGGAAGACTCCCTTTCTCAGTGGGGCTCCCTCTTCTCTACCTGATCTTATCTGGAGAGTGTTCTAAGCACATGGGCCTGACCTTATCTAGAGGATGACCCTGCACAAAGCTTTTGGCAAGTGCTGCATGGTTCAGCACATAAGTCCCACTCAGCCCTTCCCACCATATTATAATTAGGTACTGTGGTATGCCAATCAGCCCTCTTCACCACTTCCACCCCATCCCGCCAGGAAACCCAGAAATCCTCTAAGCAAAGTCATGTAGCTTATGTCCAGATTACAGGTTCAACTTCCTCTCTCCAGATACAAACTTGTCCAGCAGGTTCTTAGCATATTCCTCTTCATGTAAATGAAACATTCCCACCCTAACAAATTATGTACATTCACCCTGGAAATCCCTACCTACTCCCTGAGATCTACATAACACTTGCTCACCCCTAATAAAGTTGAGCTGTCTCACTGAAGTTGATCCCAGAAACCAATCCTGATGGTACTCACACCATACAAACCCTGCACTACCACCATCCCCTGCCTCCCCGCCCACTCCCTTTGTCCTTTTGGCTGGTGGCCAAAAACTCCAGGGGAGAAAGGAGCTTCACACATCTGTGAAGATGTTTAGTTGTGGCATGAGACCTTCGATGAGGTGAGAGAGATAAGAAGTCCAGGTGTCTTACCAGAAGAGATTCCTGTCCTGGGCTCCCTGAGGGCTTCTCTGGCACTCAAATTCCATCATGCCTAATACACAGCTTTACTTTGCTGTAGTATGTAAACCACATGTGGTTTGAGAACACTGTTGCCCTATCATATCATATATAAAGGAATCATTTGCAACTGGATGCCTTCCTGCATTTCCTATTGTTAGTATTCTGTCTAAACTCCACCTCCACAGTTATCTGGCCACAGCTAGGTATGCTCCTCCCCATAGTTACCTGGCAACAGCCAGGTAGGCCTGCCCACTATAAAAGGGGCTGCTTGCCCCTCCTCTCTCTCTTGCTCTCTTGCTCTTTTGTCTCTAGCTTCCTTCTGTCCCCTTGGCCCTCCCCCCTTCCCTTCCCCCTCTCTCCACGTGGTCATGGCTGGCCTCTACTCCTCTCTTCCTCCACTTCTCTCTCTCTCTCTCTCTCTCTCTCTCTCTCTCTCTCTCTCCCTCTCTCTCTCTGGCTCTCTACTACCCTCCTGGCTCCCCTACCCATGCCCAATAGTTTTTTAAAACTCTATTCTATGCTATACCATCCTGTGACTGGTCCCTCAGGGGGAAGAGATGCTTTGGCATGGGCCCACTGAGACATCCCCTTCTCCCATACCTCTCCGCACATCCACAGTACATACTCTTTATCTCTTTATCTTTTTATAAACACAACACCTATATATTCCTGAAAACTCCTGACTCCTTGGTAAATAATTACTCTGATCTTCTGTGTGCTTAATTTTCATTCTTACTGTACTATTGTTGTTCTTAATGTTTTCAAGCCCACTGGTGCAAAGTTGCTTGCATTTTGTGTTCTTTACAAAAATGCCAAATTGTGCTCAATCTACATTTTTTTTTGTTCTAGCAAATCTATGTGAAGAAGGCTAGCTCTCTGACCCAAAGATTTACTAGGCAGACCTGTGCTTGTAACCATTGACTTTTCCACCCACAGCCAAGTTCCCAAGTAACAATTCAGAGGCTTAGTATTTATTAACAACACTTATGGCTTTTGGTAGGTCATTAACTTGTAACTTATTTAACCCACTTAAACTTTCTATGTCTGCCACATGACTTCTCCTCAGTTTCACACATTCAACTTCCTCCAAGTACTGGTGGAGAATCTTCCTGAAACTGACTATCCCAGAGTTCCCATCTCTCTACCAGAACTCCCATTTTCTACTTCTTGCCTTTTGCTAATAGGCCATCAGCTCTTGATTGACAGGTGATGCTCCCACACAGTACACAGAGATTATCCCTACATGTGCTGAACTCTTAATATCCCACTGGAGATTTCAATATAGAAAAATGATTCTTAGAAACTTTCAAAACATAGCACCTAGGGTTTCTCATTTCAGTCACTGAATTTGAAAATCACTGAAAGTGTCTCTACCTATTATATTTGTAGATTTTGTATTATGGTTAACAAATCTGTTCACCTATTTCTGTCTCAAAGTGGTAGGTGGAATAATTTTTTATGCGAAGCAAGTCTGGGTATGTCTATTATCCCATTTCAAAGGAGCCAAATTGTGTCCAAACTGACCATGTTCCCCTAAAGCATTTAGTCCCTGTCATTAAGACACTGGCTCTTTTGTCTGAGGGATCCTGAGACTCCTATACACCCTTGCCTCTGATCATCTTATCCCACTGGGAAAGATTTCCTGGCTTTGCAGAGTCTTTTTGATACATTGCATTGAAATCAACCATAGGAAAGCATGACCTATGGGATCAAGTCCATCCGGGACACGATGGAATTAGAGAAGGATAACTTCTAGGAGGACTGGTCCTAGACTCTTCCACTGGGGCCATAGCACATTTGAGCTCCTGCTGCCGATGTAAGTGTATGTGGTTTCCATTTGTGCCAGCAGCAAATGATGTGTTTATAAAAAGATAAAGAGATACTGAATATGTTCTGTGGAGGTGTGTGGTGAGGTATAGGGAAAGGGATGTCTCAGTGGGCCCATGCCTAGGCATCTCTCCCCCCTGAGGGACCAGCCACACAATGGTATAGTATAGAATAGAGTTTACTCAGGGCATGGGGAGGGGAGTTAAGAGGGTAGTAGAGGCAGAGAGAGAGAGAGAGAGAGAGAGAGAGAGAGAGAGAGAGAGAGAGAAGAGAAGTAGAGGAGTAGATGCTGGCCATGAGCATGTGGAGATAGGGTGAAGGGAAGAGGAAAGGGGTGAGGGGACAGGGAGAAGCAAGAGCAGGAGAGGAGCAAGAGAGAAGGGGACAAGCAGTCCCGTTTATAGTGGGCCAGGCCTACCTGGCTGTTGCTAGGTAACTGTGGGGGTGGAGTTTAGACAGAATGCTAACATTTTCCCATTTTGATTTAATTAAGAAAGAAAAATTAGAAAGAGGTGATGGCGAGAAGAGGGGGAAGAGAGAGAGAAAGGTCAGGGAGTCTCTGCCTATTTATATGGATAGTGATCTAGCCTCTTGAAGGTAAAGGTGGGGGGGTGAGCCAAGTGGATTCTGGGAATGTATGGCAGTTGCCTTGGCAACGATGTGGACATCAAGGACACTTCATCAAAGGGGTTCACAAAGCACCTTTTACACTTCTGGCAGTTGTCTTATTTGGGAAGTTTTATAATTATTTGTATGCAAGCAAACTCACCCATTTAACTGTATAGTTTATAAAATCTGAGAAAATGTGTGAGATGTGCGGCCACTCCTCCTTCAAGTAGAGGATGAAAGAAAGAAAGTTTACTCAAGAAAGTTCCTTCACATCCCTTGACATGAACCGTTGTGCCAAACTCTGCTTCCTGGCATCCACTTAACTGCTTTATTGGAGCCATGGTTTGGAAACTGCATATAATTTGGAACCTCTAATGGCCCAGCTCTCTAGTCAGGACAGAATCTGTCTGTGACTGTCTCTTCCACTAAGACAGTGTGTTTGAGATTCAAGTGGGGTTTTCCCTTGCCTGCAGGTTTCACTGCATAGATTAAGAGAACACACTTTGTTCACCCAACACTTGATACATCAGGAGTGCCATGTCAGAAACATGGATGAACATGCATGTCAATGCCTCTCTGCGATGTCAGAATTGACTGGATAACAGTAAAGTCCACAAGATATGGTGGTTTTGTTGGCAGCAATTTATCATGTGGACTTTCTTCTCATTAGGCAGCTGAAGCAAACAGAGGTTCTTTTATTGCAATCTTATTTATTTACCACTTCTATCGTATTATGCAGTAAATACTTTTATATTCTCTCTGTATATATCACTATATATTTTCTTTTTTTATTTATTCTTCTCTCGGATATTACATTCTGACTGCAGTTTCACTATATTTATATTTATAATGAAATGGCTATAAAAGAGTAATAAGGCCATATGTAGAGTAATTGAGAATTTTCAAAAAGACTTCACTAAGAGGTAGAAGCATGAGGTTGGTAGGAATTTCAAAATATAGGGATAGTATGGAAAACCTGCTGGTGGTCTGAAGGATGGTGAACTGTCAACTGAAGATTTGAGTTGATCCCATGGTGGATGCTGTAGGAGAGGAGGCTAAGACCAAGTCCAGACAGACCAACGAGTATGTGGACTACTCAAGTGAGCTAGATCATTTGTTGGTAACAAGCCAAACTACTAGAATTTCATCGAGTTCTCTGTATGTTGGTCCCTGGATAATAATTCTTGATCACCTGATAACAGACATACATACTGAGTTATCAGACATCAGATGGCAGAGGCCCTCGCCATCATGCTGTTAAGTACGTTCTTCATTATGGAGTACAGGTACAATTCACACCCTTTCTTCCATCTAATGTGTCTGGTAATTTCTTGAGCCTGGCTTTGCTCACACTGTTGTAATAGGCCCATGTGCTTCTACAATCTGGACCTACTTGGGTAAGCATTTATGATGGCACTCTTGCTCATTTTAAGAGTAAATTATCACTGTGCTTTGTGGGTGGTTTTGGACAGAGGGTGTTAGCAAGGTGCAGATTGTCCTCCCTCCTCAAAATACAGGCACACGCTCCTTGTACAATACAGTCTCTTGGTGCAAACCTCAGTCTGGAAAAGCACTGTTCTATACAGTATGGAGTAAACGGACTTAAGGCCATGTGGAGAGAAACCTGGTGGAGGAGGAAGTTGGATGGAGAGTAAGGTGCCACAGGCTCCTGAGACTTGAAGAGTCCTGATCCACTGTACACAGTATGTGATCTGACCAGTATGGCTCCCTACATACTGTTGAGACAATTCAAAGGACCCAAGGCCATAGCAGGCAGATGCTTCCCCTGTCTTCATAGACATCTCTATGAGAGATTGGACCCTCCCCTGCAGGCTCCTGGGCAGGCTTCTGAACAGGCAAGTCAGATTCTGCTTAACAGCACAAGTTGCACTCCAATTTGCCCTTGAATGTATAAACATACCCTAATTACATTAAAGGAAAAAAGAAAGAAAAGAAAAAAGCTATATATAAGCTCATGTAATAAACATTAAAGTTAGATTACACTCTGATGCTGGTCTCTAGAGTCTGAATCCTGGGCATCCTCGTGGACTCCCACTTCCTGGTCTCTGTCTCCACAGCTGGTGCCTGAACAGGGGATGCCAACATTTCACAACACAGTAAGTGGACCTCTCCAAGCATTATGGGTAACTCCGACTCTCAGCTGAAAGTGTTAAAAGGAATCTCGGAGAGTAAGCAACTTAGATTTTCTGACAGGCAATTAAACAAATTTTATGACAAAGTCTTGGACTTTTGTTCTTGACTGATATCTGGGCAGGTGTTGCCACCCCTCCCAACTGCCACCCTGATCATGGCTGTGAAAAACTGAGTT